GTGGCAACTATACATATCAGAAGCAACAAAGCAAATTATTTTAAATGATATTGCCTTAATTCACTTCAACCCCAACTAGATAACAACAATAATGGCGGCCATGGTATGAAAATTATCCGAGTGAACTAGTAAAAGATCAGTAACTCACAATCCTACTACTGTTGTCTTTTACTCCCTTTTCAAAAGTGGTGATGTACCAATAAATCCTGGGCATACTAGATTTTAAAAATAAGTTTTCTACAGGTACAGACAAACTTCCAAACTATATCATTATATCTATGGAAGACTTTAGTAAGGGTTTTAAGTAATTTGTGGTAACGAAATCCTTGACTTTATAATTTACCAGTAATACAGATTACGCTCATTGAAATCCAAAAAGTCACTACAGACACAGGCAAAGCGAACAAGTTGGGACATGTAAACACCGTAAGACGGCGCCAAAGGAGCATCACCGTCCAAAAAAGGAAAATTAACAATAGGGAAAGAAAAATCGTCCCTTTTGCTGTAAATTTTCGTTTAAAACTGAAAAATCTAAATCTAAAAAAGGGCAGTTATTGTTGTTATATTTGATTTATTCATTGTAACATGATCGAAATCGTCCCCTGATTCCTTTTAAGACGATTTTAACCCATTTTTTTGGTGTTTTTGCCTTTTATCTTGAAAACTATTATAGTTAGATAGACACTTTGAAAAGCAAAAATGGCCAGCAAGATAAGATCAACTATAAAAACGTATGACCAGTTTACTCCTTATTGTAGTTGTTGCTCTTCGAGGACGATTTTACCCATTATTATCTTGAAAACTATAAATTATATATCATTATTATTAATAGATAGATAAACACGCAAGTTGACTCCTTATTGCTCTTTCAGGACGATTTTTACCAATTTTGCCTTTTATCGTGAAATTTATAAAAAAAAATAGATAGACACTTTCAAAAGCAAAATGATCAGCAAGACAAGATCTATAAATAAGTCAAATTTTGCCGAAATCGTTAATAAACCCTTTATATCCAGCGATTGCCCTTAAATGAAGATTTTTTTTTACCCTTTTTGTGTTTTGTGCAAAAAATAAAAAAGAAAGAAAGAAACTGTTAACAGAAAAAAATTACCAGCAATACAAGATCAACAAAAAAGAGATATTTTTGGGAATTATATTATAATCTACAATGTTGGAGAGTGTCCACTGTTGAAGATGCACATAGACCTAGGTGAGTGACACAGGCACTTTGGAGCCTCTAGTTTAATATTGGGATTACATGAGCATTTCCAATCGGATGGTAATGTGCCTTATCGACGGAGTCTTAAGAAAAGTGATAAATTGTTCCTGAGTTCTGAATTTATGTACTCCCACATCTCTGATATTGAGCTCAGTGTTCGTTTGTAGACCGTAAAATATTTTGAATAGCTCACGTGCTTCTGCGAATTGGCTCGCATCTATTTACCAGTAATGATGGTATGTGTGTGAGGAAAATATCAAGTGTTACTGATCCTCTTTATGGTAATGTTACCACTTCATCCAAACAGCAGTTATTTAACATATCTACAACTTTATTAATGAGTTGTGTATGGTATTTGCTACCACAAACTGAGTTGGATTTCCAGTCAATATCAGGAAGGTTGTGTATCCTGCATACCATTATAATCATAATATGTAACCAAATTACTATTGTCTATCCACATACATATTCCATGTACGTCTATCCACAGGCACTTGACTGAAAAATATTTCCTCTATAGGATTTTTTTCAGAGACAAGAGCCTGTGCGTCTATCCGACCAACATTGCAGCACCGTCTATTAGTGTAATCTGCATGTTCAAATTCTTTGTACTGTGTACATATACTTCGTTATTCAGTGTGTTTTTGTGTGTCTTGAATAATGTTTTATATTGTAAATATGCTCCTTTTGAACCCATTTACTGAAAATAAACTGATATCGTCTAAATTCATACCATGGCGCAAGGTTCAATCTGAGGCTATTGCAATAACATTATGAGAAGGTTAATATATTAGTCCTATAGGCTAGCAGATATATATATATATATATATATATATATGTGTGTGTGTGTGTGTGTCAAGGTGAGTGTCATGTTGTGTTTGTGTGATGGTGTGTGTCATGTTGTGTGTGTGTGATGGTGTGTGTCATGGAGTGTGTGTGTGCGTGCGTGTAATGGATGTGAATTGGATAGTCACCCTTTTTTAGAACCAGATTAATGTTTCCTTAATTCAAAGTTTATTCTATGTTTAATTTGATTTAAACATACTAGAATACAACCTAGCTTTACTAATTTAAAACATTATATATATTATGATCTCTATTATGAATATTCATTTATTCAATATTTCTTGAATACCATAAAATTAAATTTATATTAAGAGTTGGTACGGATGGGACAACGCACACTCATCACTTGTATGAGCCGGCAGTCGCCTCTTCTTAAATACTCTATTTCAGTCTAAATTAGGCTATAGCTCGCAGGAATCGTTTATTCCACTGGACTCGTTAATTATCAGCAACTATATTTGAAATTATTGTGATACGATTTACCAGAGGCTGATATATGGTTAATGCATAGACTTTTTACTTGTCCCCGACACTCCTAAAGTTGCCTAGTTTAGGACACCAATTTCAAAATCGTGGATCTGTATCTATTTACTAAATTCTAAAATACAACGCGAACTTTTACTATTTAATTATATTTCATTTTTGAACCGAACTTATGAATTGGCTATTAATTCTTTTTTATTCCATTTGACCTAATTGTTGTACATTTATAAATAAAATGTTGAGTTCTATTTGAGTTCTATTTGATTTATATCTCTGCAAAAATCTGATATCTGGTATCCCGATGATCGAATAGGGACGAAGTACTAGCCACTACACGTGCCGGGAGCTGTGACCACCTCCTGTTACCTGGGACTATTATGTTCCAGCTGTTTGTTACATATGTCTCTTGTCATAGCTGGTTCAATCAAGGACGTATAACTAATATACGTCCTTGGTTCAATGGAATTTATTTATTGAAAATTGCATTTACAGCCACGGTATACAATGCGTTCACCTCTATATGTATAAAATGAAATAAAATGTAGCCAGCTTATTTGAAGAAACTTACTTACTGGTGTTTTTAACGACCTTGACTGGCTAAGCCCTCGCACGGTCGGCACTGGCTTGCGCCTTTTTGGACTTTTAAATAATTTATTTTTACCATAAGGTGATTGATATAATTTGATTTGTAGAAATACAGAGGTCAAATACAGGTATTTACAAAACCCGTAAAATACTAAAGACCCGTACTCGGTTCTGTTTTAGTTCCTTTCATGGGTTACACTAAAGACCTGAAAGTGGACCTGAAAAGACCTGAATAGACCTGAAGATATGCTACTCAAATTATTCAAATTGCAATAACTTCTTTATTTTACAATGGCATTTCTTCAAGTTAGAATTTTATTAAATGTAAAGATCCACATTTCTTCAAAAATATTTTTTTTAAATAAAAAACAATTTTTTGATGCCAAAACTTGGACCTGAAGGGAGAAATGAAAAGACCTGAAAGGACCTGAAAATCTATGGTCGGACTTATTCAAACTTCAATAACTTTTTAAATATTCAATGGATTTCTTTCAACTTCAGATTTTGTGAAACTAAAAATATTTAAAAAAAATATGAAAAATATCGTTGTGGTGTGTAAATATTTTGTCAATCAATATGTGACACTATAATAAAATATTTAATGCCAGATTTTTTTTTTCAATATTTTTATTAAGTATTTCTTAATACGCAATTATTCTGGAATTTTGTAAATTTTACAGTATGTTAATGCCAAAAGTCTTTTTTTTTTTAAGTATTTTTACGAGGAATATTCAGTGATGAAATGAAAGGAATAAACTTTTTAGATTGGTATTATCATTTTGTATATATATGCGTGATTACTCGTCAATTAATTAGCTTGTTCTATAATAATTATTTGGTGTTTTCATTGTTAAGTATACTGTGTTTTAATTATGTATAATTATGTAATAATGTGTAACTGATATCAACGACAATGCAAGCTCATTTTAAGCTAATCATTAAAATTAAATATTTTCATCACAAGCTACTTTTGACTCTTCTTGAATGAAAATGCAAATGTTTTATAAGCTATGTTGATTAACTATATATTTTCAGGTCCATTCAGGTCTTTCCATTTCCATTCAGGTCCGAGTTTTGTCACAAACATTCAATATGAACATAAAAATAAGAATATGTGGTATGATTGCCAATGAGACTACTCTCCCGTCTTTTTGACTTGTATCAGTTTTGAGTATCCTATTGGTATCTCCCGTCAGTTTTGATATTTGTTTTTCTTTTGATAAAATATTAGAAGAAAAAAACTAGATGTGGTTTGATCCCAATGAGACAAATCTCCACAAAAGACCAAATGACATAGAACCTCTGAGAAGTTAACAACTATAGGTCACCATACGGTCTTCAAAAATCTATTTTCAGGTTTGTTCAGGTCAAAGACTTGTCACCAAAATAATATTTTTCGTCAATGTTTTTTATTTTTTCGTTTTGAAAAAAAAATATTAGCGGAATTTCAGGTTCATTCAGATTTTTAATTCTCCGTTCAGGTCCGAGTTTTGACACCCCAACGATATTTTTCATAATGTTTTTTTTAATATTATTAGTTGATTGAATTTTTAGTTTCACAAAATCTAAAGTTGAAAGAAATTCATTGAATATTTAAAAAGTTATTGAAGTTTGAATAAGTCAGACCATAGATTTTCAGGTCCGTTCAGGTCTTTTCATTTCTCCGTTCAGGTCCAAGTTTTGGCATCAAAAATTTGTTTTTTATTTAAAACATTTTATTTTTGAAGACATGTGGATCTTTACATTTAATAAAATTCTAACTTGAAGAAATTCAATTGAAAAATAAAGAAGTTATTGCAATTTGAATAATTTGAGTCGTATATCTTCAGGTCTATTCAGGTCTTTTCAGGTCCACTTTCAGGTCTTTAGTGTAACCCTCCTTTCATAACTTCCGGTAAATTTTCACATGTTTCATATTTTTAGATTTTATTTCAATTTTAGCTTACTGTAACAACGTAAAGAGGAGCTGAGAAGATGGACGATGAACAAGAAACATACAAGTTATGGAGAATACGTAAAACAATAATGCAGGTAATTAGAACCACACTTTTAATTTTTTTTGACGGAAAGTAAACATCAGTATGTTGATGGTTTTCTGAAACTGAAGAAGAAATAGATAAACAAAAAATAAAACATGTTTTGTTTAGACAAAATGACAAGATTTGAGATGATCCAACGAAGAGCTGGCTGCTACACATGTAACAGATACCACAATACCAGCCCTGTCTCAAATGTGCTCGAACACCTACAGTGGCCTATGTTACAAATGAGACGAATACAAACAAGAGCAGTGGTTTTCTATAAAATTATACACCAACATTTTCATAGCAATCTACCCTAAAGATCTTCCTATTACATCAGACAGCAGAACATGGCATTAACATACCAACCACTATAAACAAATTCAAAACCAATAAAGATTCACAGACTACACGAAATACGTCGGACAAATCCGGTGAATAATGTATCGGTCTGGTAAAATTTTGTTGAATTCCAGTCCGAATGTCCGGTGTTATATTTTTCGTGGGTTTTTTTAAAAACCCTACATTTTTCCCAATTTTGGGGGCAAAATTCCCAAACGATCTCAAAATTCATTCTCATCTTTATTATTCATGACAGCGATGTTTATTTTGTTCAACCGCTAGCTTTATGCCGAAAATCGCATACAAGTAATGTGTAAATCCGAGGAAAAACATATCTGACTGACAAAAACAACAATGGCTGCCATCAACGGGAAATATAAACAATACCGGATCAGATTCCGGGAACAGATAAGGTCAATTTCCGGGTTTGCCGATCAAATACAATAGAAACATAAAAAAAATCCAAGCAGGTTCACAAAATACAGCTATGAAATATAAACACTAGAATTGAAAACCAAAAGATATATGAAAATGAAAGAAGATACAGGAAATATTTTATACAGAAACTCAAAATTTTTAGTTCACAAATAATTTTCATGTCAAAATCCAATAAAATGTGTCATTACTTTTCTTTATCACTGAAATGCATTCAAGCAATTGTGCACAACTTTCATCAAAATACATGTATACACTCTTTGTCACATGATTTTGTTTTTGTGCATTTTGGAGAGGAGTAGGGCACAATAAGTCATAAGATTGTTGTATTTTGTCGGATAATATACAATTAGATGTAAAAAAAATTGGTCAGGTAAAATTTCATTCGGTCTGGTAAAGCGAGGTTGTTTACCAGACCGAATGTCCTGTAAAAATAAAATTCATTTGTGTAGTCTGGATTCATACAAATTCTCATTTTACCCGCACACAATAGTACAATGGAACCTACTACCAACATCGGCAATCCTTTGTACAATAGTTGACGGCTTCATAGAGCGATTTCTATACATGTATCTGCTCTTTCACAAATATTTTAAACACTGCATAACATGTACATAGTATTACCAAAAATATACATAGGATAACAATCCATTAAAAAAAATAAATCACTAATATACTTTATTTTTTCATTTCACCAATGTAAAGTAATATTACTGAAAAATTCATTTCTTTTAAATTGTACATATGCCAGGCATGCAACAGCAGGTATTAGTCATTTTTGTGTAATTGAAAATTCCCTGTGATACAATGTAAATGTAGCTACTTTTATCTTAAAGGCTTTGACAAAATAAGGTAATGAAGAGAAACACCAAAGTAAATTAATTTATAATTACTATTTGGCAAGGCATACATGTACAAATGTATGAGGATTATTACTTGGGCTAGTACTAGTTCTTATAAGAATTTTATTATTATTATCAGGCTAGTGAAATATAAGTACTGAAAACCCATAGGCTTGTAAGATTTTTCAGATAATTTGAATCATTGAGTAGACTGTGGTTGACTTATTTAGTCAAATCTGTAACAAAATTGACCGAAATGAGATAAAAAAATAGTCATATGAACATTTGAAATGGCAATGGTACACTTGCATTTGCATGTGGCGATTCTGTCAATAAGAAATAATCAAATTAAGTTCAAAACTGAGCTCAGTCAGAGCTCATGTTATAAGATACACATGTGATCAGTGTTCCAGCTTGATCTTTTTCACAGGGCGGTCCGCCAGCCCTGTACCCTTTTTACTGACGCCCTGTGCCATTTTTAAGACGCCCTGCCCTTTTTCCCGAGTTCATGCCTTTATGTCGTATTATTTTGATGAAAATACTATATAATTCCACCTGCCTTCATGTTTCTGACAAGTTTATGACCCTCAGCTAATTAACATTTACAGCAGGTGTTATAAGTTGTGATTACAGGTAATCCGCTTATCGCTATCGGATGGGTCACTAATCCGTTAATTAACAAGCCTAATAATTGACCATTATAATTATCTTTCCCAGTAAAATTGGTCAGTCGGTATTTCAATTTCAATATTTCTCTAAAGACCACAATTTGCAGTTCGTTTATCTATAGATGTTTTTGTAGTTTCGTTCATTGAACAAAATTTTTTTTCCCCGGACAGTTCGCATTTTGATTTCAAAATTTCTCAAATGATCACTATTTGCAGCTCGTTTGACGTAGTTTCGTCACATTTTTATAACGTTTCAACAAAATCTTTCAACAATTTCAATAATAAAGATAAAACTTTATTCAAAACGTTCAGAAATATTTTCATGAGTCAAACAGGTGCTATCTTTATCATGTACTGCACATGCGTTAACGTATTCCTATAAATTTAATAGAAACTAAAACGTAAAATAAAAAATTATGTAGTATCAAAGTAAATGAGAGAGACAATATATTTCTTACTAAGCAACTTAATTTAAAAAATGATAATTTCTTTCCTTTTTATACGCCCGTTTACGGGACGTATTATGGTATACCTCTGTCCGTCCGTCTGTCTGTCCGTCGTCAACATGTCGGACATTAACTCATAAACGCTTTAACCAATTTGCATAAAACTTTGGTGAATTGTTTATATCTATTGACGTGAGCTCCCTTTCGTTTTTTATAAATTTTGAATTTTACGTTTCTGAGTTATGGGGTTTTATTCATTAAAAAAAGGGGGATTTTCCAGTTTTCGGACAATAACTCAAGAATGCTTTCACCAACTTGCAAGAAATTGTGGTGAATTGTTTATATCTATTGACATGAGCTCCCTTTTGATTTTTATAAATTTTAGATTTTACGTTTCCGAGTTACAGGGTTTTATTCATAAAAAAGGGGGATTTTCCAGTTTTCTGACAAAAACTCAAAAATGCTTTCAGCAGTTCTTATGAAACTATGGTGAATTGTTTATATCTATTTAAGTAAGCTCCCTTTAGAATTTTATAAATTTTACATTTTACATTTCTGAGTTATGGGGTTTTATTCATTAAAAAAATGGTGATTTTCCAGTTTTCGGACAATAACTCAAAAATGCTGTCAGCAATTCTCATGAAACTTTGGTGAATTGTTTATATCTATTGACGTAAGCTGTGATTCCTGGTTTTAAAAAAGAGGAACCCAACTTTTGTTGATCAGGAATGTCCAATGAAAATAACTGAAGTGAAATTGTGAACTAGATTTCTGGATCTGAAACTATGGTGAATTGTTTATATCTATTTAAGTAAGCTCCCTTTAGAATTTTATAAATTTTACATTTTACATTTCTGAGTTATGGGGTTTTATTCATTAAAAAAATGGTGATTTTCCAGTTTTCGGACAATAACTCAAAAATGCTGTCAGCAATTCTCATGAAACTTTGGTGAATTGTTTATATCTATTGACGTAAGCTCCCTTTTGATTTTCATAAATTTCTAATATGACATTGAGAATTAATTGAACTTTATTTGTTTATAGTCTGACAACAGATTTACTAAGTATTGCGCAACAGCACAGTGTATTGCACAACAGCAAGAAATCTTTAATTGAATATAAATTCAATTCATATAAACAATTTCAAGTTCTTTGACTACATTTATTCAGAAACCTGTAATATGTCAAATATTTAATTACAATCCAAATTCAGACCTGTATCAAGCTTGAATATTGTGTCCATTTTTGCCCCAACTGTTCAGGGTTGGACCTCTGCGGGCGTATCCAGCTGCGCTCAGCGAAGCAGTTTATTGTTAAACACGAACCAATCCGTAGATGAATCCGGATTCATTCTAAATTTATTATCCTCTTGTCACTTCCTGTTTTCATTTAGTTTAAAAATCGAAAGTAAACATGATCTATTCTTGATAAATTTAAAATATACTGTCATTTTAATCCTTCCAAGTTTATAAAAATGAATTCCAAATATCGATTAAAACGTTTTTTACAGGCGTTTTTACATAATGATTATGCAGTGAAATAGTCGTTACAATTTCATTTTTGCTGTGATTCCTGGTTTTAAAAAAGAGGAACCCAACTTTTGTTGATCAGGAATGTCCAATGAAAATAACTGAAGTGAAATTGTGAACTAGATTTCTGGATCCTTCTTCTTATCTTCATATTTAAGCATCACATCAGTCAAATCATGCAATAACTGCCTACATTTGTAGCATGCCTAAAGCCTTCAAAGATCCTGGTCCTTGAAGGACTTGGGCATATGTATAGCTAGTAATATACGTCCTTGGTCCCTTACTGTTAACCAAAATAAGGTTGATTTTCATCTCGCGTAAAAGTGACTAATTATAAATAAAGCCCTCAAACTTTAGCTGAAACCCCTGCTATTTACATAATAAAAGACAATGTTTTTGAATTATCAATCAGCGTGCTAAAGTGCCCTTTTCCTGATTGGCTCCCTGCCCTTTTGAAATCCTAGCTGGAACAATGGTGATGGATAAACCTGAGACAGTACTCCCATAACTGACATAAAATGATTAATATATTACATATAAAAAAGAAGATGTGGTATGACTGCCAATGAGACAACTTTCCAAAAGAGACCAAATGACACAGAAATTAACAAATATAGTTCACCGTATAGTATTATTGTGCCAAACTACCTTTCCATATGAAAATACATGTACAAAAGGCGTATTGCATTTCCAAGATAAATACCTCATGATTATTATAAAGGATGGATTATTAGAATGAATAAATGTCAGAAAGAGTTTAGATAGACCCATGACATAGTTCATGCAAGTTCATACTACTGTGTGGGAAATGTTCCATCTAAGTGTAGTTGTGCAATGAAAAACAACAATATGACTTATAGTTGTAATTTTGTATCTATTTATTTTCAGTTATGCCATGACAGAGGGTATCTTGTAACACAGGATGAATTGGACCAAACATTAGATGAGTTTAAAGGCCAATTCGGAGACAAGCCAAGGTAAGGAAATAAGGTGGTATTATTGTAAAGACCAACATGAACTTAATGATTTCAAAAACTTACAAATGTATTAGAGGCATTAATTTGCCAGTTGTAGATAATCATAAAACACAGGAAAAACATTTTCATTGTAAATATAAGTAGCCAGTAGGTCTAGTACATGACTAAAATGTATTTTAAAACATGCAATTATTTTTAAAAACCCAACAAATTTACATTTTGAACACTTCACATATTTATTTTTTTATCTTCTGTATTAAGGTGAAATCTTGTATAATCTAAGATAATGATTATGCCTATACAGCTAAAATATATCTTCCCCTTTTACTCCTATATAGCAAAGTTTTATGTTCAAATCATGGTTTTTTTAACTACATGTACCAGTAAACTCAAAGTACTTTTAAATAAGATTCTCTTATGGTAGTAGCCTGTTATTTATTTATCGTATCACAGAGAGTGGAGTATGATATGAAAAATTTGTTTGTTTGATGGGCTTAGCTTATCCAGCTTCATGAAACAACTTTGCAACATTTCCATTGATTATTTGTTATGTCATTGGTGAATTTCAAAGGTCAGAAGTGCTCAGAACTATGCACATTTCTTCATAATATAGAAAGCACTCACACTTATCACTTGAAAATCTTATTACTGTCAAATTTTATTACTTTCTGAAGCATACAAAAAGTTTTGAAATGTCTGATGTTAAAGTTTTACACCAAAGGCTTGTTATATCCCCCGCAAACAAAGTTAGGGTATATAAGAATCACCATGTTCGTCTGTTACTCTATCTGTCTGTCTGTCCGACTATCCTGCTTCGCGTCTGTGCATAATTTTTGTACCATAAGACTTAGGTTAACCATATTTGGTATGCAGTTGCATCATGGGCTGATGGCTTGTCATATACCATGTCATGACCTTTGATCCCATTGATAGTAAAACCTAGTACAATTTGTGTCCCGCTCATGAAATTTTGTACTGTAAAACTTATGCTAAGTTAGTAACCATACTTAGTATGCTGTTGCATCATGGGATGGGATGTGTCACATACTAAAGTCAGGTCACTCTGACCTTGATTTTGACCTTTGACCACTACGATAGTAAAACCTTATCCAATTCATGTCCGGCTCATATCTTTTGTACCATGAGACTTTGGTAGCACTCAATAATTAGAAAATAAAATTAAAATTGAACCACAAAATGTTAAATCATCTTCTATTCCTGGCTACTAAAACATTAAGCCATGTGTCATACATGTGCATATGTATGTAATCAGTATCCTCAGGTTTTATTTTCAAAAGTTAAAATGGTGAAATATAATGCATTTTTTGTGTATCCATGGCAACATTCTGCATTTATTTACTATAAAATATTGCAAAAAGGGGGATGAAAATGTCACATATTCCCCAAAAATTTGGTTCAAACTAGAATTTCAATCCTTTTGAGTGATACATTTTCTGAAACTATTGTCATTGACATTAATCTACCAAATGAGCAAATGAAAATTGGGTGTCTTTCGCCTCATTTTTTCGTAAAATTTAATCACAAAGTTTGTGCGACAAAAGGTTGGAAAAAAACATTACAATAATTTCATGACCAATGTCTGGTATGGATATGAAAATACAGACTTTCATACAGAAAAAAGCCCTTAATACATACATTACACAATCTTGATGTTCCTTTAAAGCTACTATGAAGGTAATATCAATCTTCAGCTATCCAAAAATGAATTTTACTGCACACTAGCTTTCATATTTGAAAAATCCAAAATGCGAAACTACACACCTAACTGTGAAGTGCTACCTTAGGTTAACCAAACTTGGTATGCAGTTGCATCATGGGCTTAGGTGTGTGTCATATACCAAAATCAGGTCACTCTGACCTTTGACCCTTATGATAGTTTTATTAAACCTTGTCTGATTTGTGTCCTGTACCATAGAAACTAGGTGGACCAAACTTGGTATGCTGATACATCATGGGATGTGGGGGTGTCATATATCAAAGTCAGGTCACTCTGACCTTGAATTTGACCTTTGACCCCTATGATAGTAAAACATTGTCTGATTTGTGTTTGGTTCATAAGTTTTTGTACTGTAATACTTAAATTGACGAAACTTTGTATGCAGAAGCATCATCTTGACCTTTACCTTTTATTTCTTAATTTACAGTACCGGTATACCGAATTTACAGTAAACAAACCTCAAACTTTGTTCCTGGGTCAATATAATTCTTTCAGATTGACCTATCAAAAACCATGTGTCAATCTAACACCGATGCAATGCTTGTATAAAATGAATGGCTGAAAACCAAAAATCTCCAAATGTCATTGCCTCAATAATGAATTTCACAGCAACAACTTAAACTCAAGTATGGGTATTAGTCCCGCTATGCGAACAGCTCTAGTTTATTATTATATTGAAATTAAATAACGTAGGTTGATATTAAGTGATATCCAATTCTCACGCGTTATGAAGCCTTATAGTGTAATATATAATGCCTAATAAAGTTTAAAGTTGATATAGAAAATAAGCTAACTTCAAGATCAACCAAATATTTTTTTTTTACTATAAATAAAAATCTAATATTACTCTCTGTGCTTTTTATTTTTGCATACAGTTATGGCCTAAATATTGGTGATTTGATATATAGATATAAATTTATTATGACATTGATTCTGTTTTTGTTTAGTACATATGAAAACATATACAATTTTTTGGGGCTTTTAATTCCAATTTATACCAGGATTGTTACAAAACTAACAAAATACTTCAGATTAACATACACAAACATCTACCTCATGGGTCCGGAAATGGTAGTATTTTCCAGTCATGACTGAATTTAAAATGCAATTTGACTGAAATGAAATTCCTAATTGCAGTTAATTGAAATTTTGACTTAAATAAAATCAGACATTTTTAACCCCCTTTTTGGTCAGAAATGCATAATTTGATAGTATTGATGTTATTGTTTGATAGGAAATATATATTTTCCCTGTCTAATTTTATATTTCTATATATATATATATATATCGGCAGTTTGGAGATTTTTTTTAACTATTTTTGCATATTTCCTGGTTAAAGACAGTATTGTTGTGTAGATATTATATTGACCTAAATATTTTATTGCACAAGCATGTGAGGTTTAGTGATATGAGAATTGAAGACAAAATACTATTCTTCTTTTGTAAAATGAATGTGCATTATTTTTTCTTGTAAATTTCAGTGAGCGTAAACCAGCTAGAAGTGATTTGATTGTTCTTGTGGCTCACAATGATGATCCAACAGGTAACATTTTTTTTTTTTAAATTGATGAAATAAGAATTATATACCGTATTCAAAGACTTTGTAGAGTAATAATAATATATGTCAATGTCAAGTTTTTATTTTACTTTGCATGTTCAAAAGGTTTCCCTATTTCATAATGCTAATTTATTAAATGTTTTAACAAGTTGCAGCTTATATTCATCTCTTCAAATTGGTCAACTGATAGAATATTTAAGCTCATTGGTAGTGAAAGGTTGTTAGTATGAAGCAAGTGCAATGTAACAAAATGTTCTTACCATCCAATTCCAGTGATTGACTGTTTACTTTACAAGGTGGACTGATTTAACAGATAGTCAAGATAGGTAATCACACTGCACTTATTATTATGCCCCCGCCGTAGCAGAGGGGGCATTAAGTTTTACCCTTGGTCGTCTGTACGTCCGTACATCCGTACATCCCGAAATTGGTTTCTGTCTCTAACTTTAGTTTACCTCTACCAAATGTTATGAAACTTATACACAATGCTTATTACCACAAAAAAACAGATCATATTTGAATTTGGGTGGTGTCACTTTTACCTTTTTAGAGTTATGTCCCTTTACAAATGGAAAAATTGCTTATTTTTTCATTTCCATTCTCTAACTTAAGTTTGCCTCAACCAAATGTTATGAAACTTATACACAATGCTAATTACCACAAAACTCAGATCAAGTACGAATTTGGGTAGCGTCACTTTTACTGTTCTTGAGTTATGTCCCTTTATAATGTTATATGCAAGCAGGGGCATCATCTGTGTCCCATGGACACATTCCCCATTTATTTCATACTAACAACCTTCACCAGCAATGGACTAAACGTTCTACATGGTGGTCACTTTCAAAAGATGATGTCAAACTGCAACTCAAAAAAACATTATAGAAAATTGGTACATGTATTGTGAAAGGACAAAACCTTTCTAATATGTACAGTAATAATAAGCATTAAACTCTTTCATCATCAGTAAGTATTGGTAAAAGAACAGTTAGTTGTGGAATAAGTGTCCTATTATAAAACTTTTCCATAGCCATGCTAAGGACTTCTTTTTATGCCCCCACCATAGGCAATGGTGTGGTGGGGGGTATTCAGTGTTACCTTTGACCATCAGTCCTTCTGTCTGTCCGTCTTTCCGTCTGTCCCATTTCTGTTTCCTTCCGTCTGTCCCATTTCTGTTTCTGCACTCTAATTTAAGATTGCCTCGTACAAATTTCATGAAACTCATACACAATGCAAAGAACCACAACACGAGTTAAATTTTTTGTTGTGAGTCATATACTGTTCTAGAGTTATGCCCCTTTTTAACTTGAAAAATTGCGAAAGCTTGAGCGGGGGCATTGTGTCCTCAGACACATTTTTCTTTTATTTTTTAATCTTTATTATATTGCACTGAAATAAATTGCCAGGGAAAGTACAAGTACAAATAATCAGCAGTTTTCATTGTTGGGTTAATGTTTTATTATTATTACCCTGAAATCCTCAATTTTGATATCAAAAAAGGATAATAGCTAATGACCCATTCCATTTTAATTCTGCTTGACTCCAATCTTAATTGACTAGATTGTTACTTTACCTAACAAAGGTGTGGTTCTCTCCGGGAACTCCAGCTTTCTCCACCAATAAAAACCGACCACCATGAAATAGCACAATAGTGCTGAAAGTGGCTTTAAACACCAATCAATCAATCAATCAATCAATTCCATTTGCATTGCAGATCAGATGTTTGTATTCTTCCCAGAAGAACCAAAAGTTGGTATAAAGACAATAAAGACTTACTGTCAACGTATGCAGGAAGAAAATATTACTAGAGCTATAATTGTTGTACAGATAGGAATGACACCATCAGCAAAACAGGTTTTTATTTTTATATCAGTTACTGTTTTTTGGTTATGACAAAATCAGGATCATTTATGCAAATAGAACAACAGTATAATTGTGAAGCAACCTTAGTTTTATATATCAGTGATAACAAATAACTAAACAGTCAGCAGAACTGAGTCATTTTTATACGCCCGTTTACGGGATGTATTATGGTATACCTCTGTCCGTCCATCCGTCTGTCCGTCGTCAACATGTCGGACATTAACTCAAAAATGCTTTAACCAATTTGCATAAAACTTTGGTGAATTGTTTATATCTATTGACGTGAGCTCTCTTTCGTTTTTTATAAAATTTAGATTTTACGTTTCTGAGTTATAGGGTTTTATTCATTAAAAAAAGGGGGATTTTCCAGTTTTCGGACAATAAGTCAAGAATGCTTTCACCAACTTGCAAGAAATTGCAGTGAATTGTTTATATCTATTGACATGAGCTCCCTTTCCATTTTTATAAATTTTAGATTTTACGTTTCCGAGTTACAGGGTTTTATTCATAAAAAAGGGGGCATTTTCCAGTTTTCAGGCAAAAACTCAAAAATGCTTTAAGGAATTCTTATGAAACTTTGGTGAATTGTTTGTATGTATTGGTGTAAGCTCCCTTTAGAATTTTATAAATTTTACATTTTACATTTCTGAGTTATGGGGTTTTATTCATTAAAAAAGGGGTGATTTTCCAGTTTTCGGACAATAACTCAAAAATGCTGTCACCAATTCTCATGAAACTTTGGTGAATTGTTTATATCTATTGATGTAAGCTCCCTTTTTATTTTCATAAATTTCTAATATGACATTGAGAATTAATTGAACTTTATTTGTTTATAGTCTGACAACAGATTTACTAAGTATTGCACAACAGCAAGAAATCTTTAATTGAATATAAATTCAATTCATATAACCAATTTCAAATTCTTTGACTACATTTATTCAGAAACCTATAATATGTCAAATATTTAATTACAATCCAAATTCAGACCTGAATCAAGCTTGAATATTGTGTTCATTTTTGCCCCAACTGTTCAGGGTTGGACCTCTGCGGGCGTATCTAGCTGCGCTCAGCGAAGCACTTTATTATGCCCCCGCGTAGCGGAGGGGCCATTAAGTTTTACCCTTGTCCGTCTGTACGTACATACGTCCCAAAATTCTCTAACTTTAGTTTGCCTCAACCATATGTTATGAAACTTATACACAATGCTAATTACCACAAAACACAGATCAAGTTTGAATTTTAGTGGCATCACTTTTACCGTTCTAGAGTTATGCCCCATTACAAATGGAAAATTGCTGAATTTATCGTTTCCGTTCTCTAACTTTAGTTTGCCTCAACCAAATGTTATGAAACTTATACACTATGCTTATTACCACAAAACACAGATCAATTTTGAATTTTGGTGGTGTCACTTTTACCATTCTAGAGTTATGCCCCTTTACAAATGGAAAAAATGGAAAAATTGCTGAATTTTTCGTTTCCGTTCTGTAACTTTAGTTTGCCTCAACCAAATGTTATAAAACTTATACACAATGCTTATTACGACAAAACACAGATCAAGTTTGAATTTTTGTGGCGTCGCTTTTACCGTTCTAGAGTTATGCCCCTTTACAAATGGAAAAATTGCTGAATTTTTCGTTTCTGTTCTGTAACTTTAGTTTGCCTCAACCAAATGTTATAAAACTTAAACACAATGCTTATTACGACAAAACACAGATCAAATTTGAATTTTTGTGGCGTCGCTTTTACCGTTCTAGAGTTATGCCCCTTTACAAATGGAAAAATTGCTGAATTTTTCGTTTCCGTTCTCTAATATTAGTTTGCCTCAACCAAATGTTATGAAACTTATACACAATGCTTATTACCACAAAACACAGATCAAGTTTGAATTTTGGTGGCGTCACTTTAATCGTTCTAGAGTTATGCCCCTTTAGAAATGGAAAAATTGCAAAATTTTTATTTTCTTCTAAATATCAAGTTATTTTAAAATTGGAGTTATCTTCCTTTGTCCATGATTATAGTTGAATCAACTACAATCAATGCTTTATACAATACAATGTTTAGTTTTGACTTCCACTGATAAAACACAGATCAAGTTGAATTTGGGTAGTGTCACTTTAACCATTATTGAGTTATGCCCCTTTATAAATCGAAAGATTGCAAAATTTTAGTTTCCATTCTGTAACTTAAGTTTGCCTCAACCAAAAATTATGAAACCTATACACAATATTCATTACCACAAAACTAAGATCAAGTACATATTTTTTGTTTCCGTTTTCTAACTTTAGTTTGCCTCAACCAAATGTTATGAAACTTATACACATAATACAGATTAAGTACGAAATTTGGTGGCAACACTTTTACTATTTTTTAGTTATGTCCCTTTATAAACATAAAAATTGCTGAATATTTTCGTTTCCGTTCTCTATCTTTAGTTTGTTTCAACCAAATGTTATAAAACATATACACAACCGTTCTAGAGTTATTACTGTTTACAAATAGAAAAATTGCTGAATTTTTAGTTTCTGTTCTCAACTTAAGTTAGCCTCAACCAAATGTTATGAGACTTACACACAATGCTTATTACCACAAAACTCAGATCAAGTTCAAATTTGGGTAGCGTCACTTTTACCGTTCTTCAGTTATGTCTCTTTATAACTATATGATATGCAAGCGGGGGCGTCATCTGTGTCCACATGCTGTGTCCACATGTGGACACTATCCACATTTATTTTTAACTTAAATGCAACTAAATTATAATTTAGTGAAAATATTTTATCAAGGTTATGCATTATGCATTCTTATCATACACATGAGAATTTCAACCAGTTTAATGCTTTTAAAATAAAGTATGATTTAATAAATTTACTGTTTTTTTATGATAAACATACCTTAACATTCAAAGTAACAATAAATGGAACACCAGCTAGAGGAACTAATTATTGCAAGGAAAATTAAACTTTTCCTTAGAATCAGTTGGTTTTAATTTAGGGTATTGTGTAAATTTTTCATACAAATATAATGTTATTCTTTTCTTAAACAATTATTTTACCTGTTCATGTTAATGTATATAATATATCAGAGTAGAACAGTTTATTATAGTCATATCTTGTTCACTTTTTTTCAGTCATTAACAGATATGGCACCAAAGTACATTTTAGAACAGTTTATAGAATCTGAATTATTAATCAACATTACAGAACATATGGTAAGATGACCATTTCTAGTGATGTATTCAGACAGTATCTCTATTAAACATTACAGAACATATGGTAAAATGAGCATGTCTAGTGATGTATTCAGACCTCTATTAAACATTACAGAACATATGGTAAGATGAGCATTTCTAGTGATGTATTCAGACCTCTATTAAACATTACAGAACATATGGCAAAATGAGCATGTCTAGTGATGTATTCAGACCTCTTTTAAACATTACAGAACATATGGTAAAATGAGCATGTCTAGTGATGTATTCAGACCTCTATTAAACATTACAGAACATATGGTAAGATGAGCATGTCTAGTGATGTATTCAGACCTCTATTAAACATTACAGAACATATGGCAAAATGAGCATGTCTAGTGATGTATTCAGACCTCTATTAAACATTACAGAACATATGGTAAGATGAGCATGTCTAGTGATGTATTCAGACCTCTATTAAACATTACAGAACATATGGTAAAATGAGCATTTCTAGTGATGTATTCAGACCTCTATTAAACATTACAGAACATATGGTAAGATGAGCATGTCTAGTGATGTATTCAGATAGTATTGCTATTAAACATTACAGAACATATGGTAAAATGAGCATGTCAAGTGATGTATTCAGACCTCTATTAAACATTACAGAACATATGGTAAAATGAGCATGTCAAGTGATGTATTCAGACCTCTATTAAACATTACAGAACATATGGTAAAATGAGCATTTCTAGTGATGTATTCAGATAGTATTGCTATTAAACATTACAGAACTTATGGTAAGATGAGCATTCCTAGTGATGTATTCAGACAGTATCTCTATTAAACATTACAGAACATATGGTAAGATAAGCATGTCTAGTGATGTATTCATACCTCTATTAAACATTACAGAACATATGGTAAGATGAGCATGTCTAGTGATGTATTCAGACCTCTATTAAACATTACAGAACATATGGTAAGATGAGCATGTCTAGTGATGTATTCAGACCTTTATTAAACATTACAGAACATATGGTAAGATGAGCATGTCTAGTGATGTATTCAGACCTCTATTAAACATTACAGAACATATGGTAAGATGACCATTTCTAGTGATGTATTCAGACCTCTATTAAACATAACAGAACATATGGTAAGATGAGCATGTCTAGTGATGTATTCAGACCTCTATTAAACATTACAGAACATATGGTAAGATGAGCATGTCTAGTGATGTATTCAGACATCTATTAAACATAACAGAACATATGGTAAAATGAGCATGTCTAGTGATGTATTCAGACCTCTATTAAACATTACAGAACATATGGTAAGATGAGCATGTCTAGTGATGTATTCAGACCTCTATTAAACATTACAGAACATATGGTAAAATGAGCATGTCTAGTGATGTATTCAGACCTCTATTAAACATTACAGAACATATGGTAGGATGAGCATGTGTAGTGATGTATTCAGACCTCTATTAAACATTACAGAACATATGGTAAGATAAGCATGACTAGTGATGTATTCATACCTCTATTAAACATTACAGAACATATGGTAAAATGAGCATGTCTAGTTATGTATTCAGATAGTATTGCTATTAAACATTACAGAACATATGGTAAAATGAGCATTTCTAGTGATGTATTCAGACCTCTATTAAACATTACAGAACATATGGTAAGATGAGCATGTCTAGTGATGTATTCAGATAGTATTGCTATTAAACATTACAGAACATATGGTAAAATGAGCATGTCAAGTGATGTATTCAGACCTCTATTAAACATTACAGAACATATGGTAAGATGAGCATGTCTAGTGATGTATTCAGATAGTATTGCTATTAAACATTACAGAACTTATGGTAAGATGAGCATTTCTAGTGGTGTATTCAGACCTCTATTAAACATTACAGAACATATGGTAAGATGAGCATGTCTAGTGATGTATTCAGACCTCTATTAAACATTACAGAACATATGGTAAGATGAGCATGTCTAGTGATGTATTCAGATAGTATTGCTATTAAACATTACAGAACTTATGGTAAGATGAGCATTTCTAGTGATGTATTCAGACCTCTATTAAACATTACAGAACATGTGGTAAGATGAGCATGTCAAGTGATGTATTCAGACCTCTATTAAACATTACAGAACATATGGTAAGATGAGCATGTCTAGTGATGTATTCAGACAGTATCTCTATTAAACATTACAGAACATATGGTAAGATGAGCATGTCTAGTGATGTATTCAGACCTCTATTAAACATTACAGAACATATGGTAAGATGAGCATGTCTAGTGATGTATTCAGACCTCTATTAAACATTACAGAACACATGGTAAGATGAGCATGTCTAGTGATGTATTCAGACCTCCATTAAACATTATGGAACATATGGTAAGATAAGTATGTCTATTGATGTATTCAGACAGTATCTCTATTAAACATTACAGAACATATGGTAAGATGAGCATTTCTTGTGATGTATTCAGACAGTATCTCTATTAAGATGAGCATTTCTAGTGATGTATTCAGACAGTATCTCTATTAAGATAAGCATTTCTAGTGATGTATCAGACAGTATCTCTATTAAGATAAGCATTTCTAGTGATGTATCAGACAGTATCTCCATTAAGATGAGCACTTCTAGTGATGTATTCAAACAGTATCTCTATTAAGATGAGCATTTCTAGTGATGTATTCAGACAGTATCGCTATTAAATATAATATCTTCTTGCTTTAAACACTAGTTGGGGGAACTAATTGACAAGTTTCTGTACTTAAAAAACATATATCAGAGAAAAAGGCACTAGCGACAAAACGATATTAATTATATGTAAAAATGTTCATATGTAAACTGTGTACAAAAAAAGTGATGTGACGTAAGGTTTTAATTCATACGTACAGCAAATCAAGTTGTCTTTCTTACAATAGATAATTGCCCCTTGAGTTAGAACTGTAATGTAAAGAAAAAATATATACATTATGAATGTGATATATCAAGAATTTGTTATTACAATGATTTTAACTAGTATGATAATACATATAAAGGGATTACAGGAATCACCAAAAATACTGCACTGTACTACTATAAAATTTGTAAAATGTTTTACCAGAGAGAAATAGATATTAAAATAGAGTTTGAAACTGATTGTTGGTAAACAAAAATCATTTCTGGGATCTATACCTTCCTAGAAACTGAAAGGATCAAAATAGCATGGCAAGTGCCATGTTGTTCTTAATGGACTTGAACAGAATCCATGAAGAAGATTTATGATATATTATTTATGTACCCATGAAAACAGCAGACAAACATATGTATTTGTTTTTGTTAATTTTTGATACCTTATCTTTACAGTTAGTACCTGAACATGTTGTGCTGATACCAGAAGAAAAATCAGAATTGTTATCTAGATAGTATCCTTTTTAAACCATTTTATGTTCATAGAAACTGTAAGATGATTTATCAAAACTTTTGTGGAATGATTTTGTGGTATTGTGAGTGGTATACTCCAAATATGGAAACAACATCAACCACATCATTCACACAGTTTTGATTGATACAAGCTCCTAAGAAACTCTGATTGTTCTAAAGTTTACAAAGTCTTTGTGAATATATGGTTTAACTGTAAATTTCACAACCATTCTGTAGTTATATCTCTGACATAAAACTTATTACTAACCTGAATAAATTGATCTAGTCCAATTTTCATTTCTTCAAAACTTGATTTAAAAAAAAATATTGAAAATAACTTCCTTTCAACTCACTAATTTTTAAAACTAAGGGTTGGAAAACAGCAAAATAAAATTTATCTTAGGATGGTCTTCTACTAATATTATACTCTACATAGTGGTCAGATTGATTCTTTACTAATATTATACTGAACATAGTGGTCAGATTGATTCTATACTAATATTATACTCTACATAGTGGTCAGATTGATTCTATACTAATATTATACTCTACTTAGTGGTCAGATTGATTCTATACTAATATTATACTCTACATAGTGGTCAGATTGATTCTGTACTAATATTATACTCTACATAGTGGTCAGATTGATTCTATACTAATATTATACTTTACATAGTGGTCAGATTGATTCTATACTAATATTATACTCTACTTAGTGGTCAGATTGATTCTATACTAATATTTTACTCTACATAGTGGTCGGATTGATTCTGTACTAATATTATACTCTACATAGTGGTCAGATTGATTCCATACTAATATTATACTCTACTTAGTGGTCAGATTGATTCTATACTAATATTATACTCTACTTAGTGGTCAGATTGATTCTATACTAATATTATACTCTACATAGTGGTCAGATTGATTCTATACTAATATTATACTCTACATAGTGGTCAGATTGATTCTATACTAATATTATACTCTACATAGTGGTCAGATTGATTCTATACTAATATTATACTCTATGTAGTGGTCAGATTGATTCTTAACATATATCAGTAGATTAAAAGAGTCACAGTTGCCTAGGATACAGCAAGGGGATCCAGTGTCTAGGTATTTTGGACTAAAACGAGGACAGGTATGTACATGAATAGATAATTTGGTTGGATTGGATTCTAAATCTGTGTTTATATCAGACATATTTATTGGCACATTGATTTTACTTGAATAAGGTTGTGATATGAGAAAAGTCTGTTTTGTTTGGTTTACCTTGTCTGAATTCATTTAAGTGCTTAAGTTCTTTTTAGCTCACCTGGCCGAAAGGCCAAGTGAGTTATTCTCATCACTTGGCTCCTCAGTCTTGTCTGTTTCCGTTAACTGTTACAAAAATCTTCTCCTCTGAAACTACTGAGCCAAATTTAACCAAACTTGGCCAGAATCATTATTGGGGTATCTATTTTTTTTTAAATTGTCCCATGAGCCAGCCTGTCAACCAAGATTGCAGACCTGGCTTAAGATAGAACATAGGGGTAAAATGCAAGCTTTGTCTATTATCTTGAAAACTGCTATGAATAGAGAAAATCTGATAGTGTCAAAATGTCCAAAATGTTGAGATCTACCTGCTGTCCATATAAGTCAAAACTGTCGGACAACTTCTTATAGGAGTTATAACCCTTAAGGTAGATTGGGTGTCTTATTCTGAGATTCGCTACTGGGCATGTTGCAAAAATATTTTTTGGGTTTAAAAATATTTTACCAAGTATTATTCAATACATAACAGAAACATGTAAAATTTGAAATTTAAGGATTAAACTATCAAAACATTTAGTGTCGTTAACTCTATTTAAAATTTTCAGAAAAATCCTTATAAAATCAAGGGCAGATAGTTGTATTGAATTTGATAGGACAATTTGTGGTTTTTTTTCTTATTTTTCGAGAAAATAAAGCCTGTTACCCCTTATTTTTATACGACCGCAAAAAAATTTTTGTGGTCGTATATTGGTATGACGTTGGCGTCGTCGTCGTCTGGCGTCGTCCGAAGACACATTGGTTTTCGCACTCTAACTTTAGTTTAAGTGAATGGATCTCTATGAAATTTTACCACAAGTTCAATACCACAAAAGGAAGGTCGGGATTGATTTTGGGGGTTATGGTACCAACAGTAAAGGAATTAGGGGTCAAAAAGGGGCCAAAAATAAGCATTTTTGTAACTTCCAGACATAACTTGTGTGTTAGTGTATGGATCTCTCTGACATTGTACCACAAGGTTCCATATCACAAAAGGAATGCTGGGATTGATTTTGGGGGTAATTGCCTCAAAATATTAGGAATTAGGGGCCAAAAAAGGGGCAAAAAAACAATCATTTTTCTAGTTTCATGACAATAACTTGTGTGTAAGTGCATGGATCTTTCTGAAATTGTACTACAAGGTTCCATATCACAAAGGAAAAGCTGGAACTGAGTTTGGGGGTAATTGCTGAAACGTTTAGGAATTGGGGGCCAAAAAGGGGCAAAAAATAAGCATTTTTCTAGTTTCCAGACAATAACTTGTGTTCAAGTGTATGGATCTCTCTGAAATTGTACTGCAAGGTACCATACCACAAAGGGAAGGCTGGGATTGATGATGGGGGTAATTGCCTCAATATTTTAGGAATTAGGGGCCAAAAAGGGGCAAAAAACAAGCATTTTTCTAGTTTCAGGACAATAACTTGTGTGTAAGTGTATGGATCTTTCTGATATTGTACTACAAGGTTCCATATCACAAAGGGAAAGCTGGGTTTGAGTTTGGGGGTAATTGTCCTAATTGTATAGGAAATTGGGGCCAAAAAGAGGCCAAAAAACACATTTTTCTAGTTTCCAGACAATAACTTGTGTTCAAGTGTATGGATCTCTCTGAAATTGTACTGCAAGGTACCATACCACAAAGGGAAGGCTGGGATTGAGTTTGGGGGTGATGAATCATAAGGGGGTTCAAAAAATTTGGGGGGGGGGGGATTTTTTTTTTTTTTCCTTTTTTTTCTTTTTTTTTTCTTTTAAAATTTTCCATTTTAAGTTGGTTATTTCTGATTTATATTTAAAAGCAAATAATAATGATATGGTAGGAGATACACACCAAACAGGATGTGTAAATTATTATATAATAAGTATTGTGCAATAGCAAGAAATTTTCAATTGCACGGTATTGCACAATAGCAAGAAATCTTCAATTGCACAGTATTGCGTAATAGCAAGAAATCTTCAATTGCACAGTATTGCGCAATAGCAAGAAATATCCAATAGCACAATATTGCGCAATAGCAAGAAATTATCAATTGTACAGTATTGCACAATAGCAAGAAATATTTAATTGCACAGTATTGTGCAAAAGAAGATACTTCGTATAAATTGCTTATTTCTTGACCAATTTCAATGGGGTTTTATTCTTGAATTCGTGGGGTTCTTTAATATGCTGAATCTAACCATGTATTTAGTTTTTAAAGGCAGTGCTTTAATGCCTTTCTAGTTGCCGGGTTAATCCTTCCTTCCGCGATATCCAACTTATCTACGTGGGGGGTCATTAGACTCCAAGTAGATCCGGAAATGTTGAATTCTCTCCTCTTCTTATTGCGATATAAAATGTTTTTTGTTTCATTTCATTTACATTGGGAAAAAGAGAAACGATCATTGTGTTTTGTTAGTTTTAAAAACTTTTGATATATTAGTATTTTGCATTATAAGCAGTCAACCGATTGACAAACTAGAATTATTTGAATTCCGTGTGGAAAGAGCTCGGGTTAATTTCGATTGTTATCTGCAATCTAGATGTTTATAAATCATTTCAGTCGTTGATATAATAATTAAAGGTCGACTGAACATGAATTATATTATACAATTTAAAGCGCATTTCTGTTTATGCACGTGAACCCGTCTAACGTTATTTTCGCAGTTATATAAAGTAGCAAATTATCGTTCCTGAATAGGTGGCGCCGTGGTAGCGGATCCTGTTCCTCTTCTTCCGGTTTCTGCACTGTGCAACTATTTCAGTTATATTTTTAATTAACGATGCCAAATACTTGTTGTTGTGTACCTGGATGTCATTTAAGAGGATGACATGCATTTCCAAATGACTTAAAAAGAAGGAAAAGTTGGATCAACGCCATGGCCCATACGCAGATTGGACGAGAACACGATGATATCGTGGAGTCCATCTCAATCAGCTGTTGTTTGCAAGGCACGTTTTACTGAAAAAGACTACGTGGAGGAAACTATTCATGGTAAAACTCTATTTCCTTTGTGAAATATATAGTTATATATGTAATCGCCATGCGAATAAACCAAAGGCAAAGTCTGTTTACAACCGCAATTATCGTTTTAGAATAAAAGGGGGTGGGTAATTCAAGACGTCATAATTTTTTGGATTACGATTCAATGTGATCTGTTTGAGATTTTTTGGTGATTGCTACAATTATAATGATTTCTTACAAGAGGTATATCATACTGAGAATTATTTTAGCAGTAATTATGCTAATGTAGTAATGACAGGAATGCATAAGCTATGCCTCATAGACTTTCTTGAAAAATATCAATGACAATGTTAACAGGAACAAAACAATGACATGGTCTCATCTATATTATAGTTATTTAGGTACAAACAATGTACGTTTGTTGCATAAGTCTCTCATTGTTTGTCCTTTGGATTTACATAACATACATTGAATCAGGCAAACATAGTTTTATCCAGATTGTAATGAATAAATCTAGTTAATATTTCGCCAGGTAGTACAAAGTATACATTGCTAATGGAAGTTCATTTAATTATAAAAAAACTAATGTTTTATAACCTTTTTCAGGGCGCAAACCCACCATACAGAGACTTAAGTCTACTGCAATTCCCAGCCTATTTTCCTGGACCAAGCATGAGACTGAATCGTCCGCAAAAAGAAAAATCAGGGCAGTTTCCTGTGAAAACAAAAGATTTTAACTTGATGAATATTGTAGTAGAAATCTAGAGGAAAGTTTTGATTGTAAAGTTGGTTTTCCTGAAGAAGTCATTCATACTGCAGAAAGGATTTATGACTGTCCACCACCAACTGCCGAGCTAATGTTGAGCTTCACAGATGGAATTACGCAAACACCATCAATGCCTATGTTTTCAGCAGAGAATTTTGAAATGAAGACACGTGACACAGCCATGCATTTTTATACCGGTTTAGAGTTGTATACTAAATTTTTATTTGTTTTGACCACACTTGGTCCAGCAGCACATTGTTTGAGATACATATATTTTCAAATTGATAGGGTGTCAGTTGAAAATCAGTTTTTTTATGACTTTGATGAAATTGAGGCATCATACAACCAACTTTGAACTGTCTAGATTCTAGATTGAATCTAGTGTTAAGAATATTGTGTGTACATGGATTGTTTTTATGTCTAAACAGTGGTGTGAGGCTAACACTTGGCCATCTAGTGGTTTAGTCAGGTATTTTTCACCATCCAACTTCAAATTAAAGTTTCCTACGACTTGGATTATTATTGACAGCACAGATTATCCCGTGATAAAACCTAAAGCTCCTAGAGCTCAGGCAACCTTTTCATCAAATAAAAACAGAAACACTGAAAATTCTTGAATGTTCGACACCTGGTGGTTTAGTCAACTATGTCTCTATGTCACATAGAGCGAATTATTGGACTTGGCAAAACATACAAAATTCTAATAAATCCTATGAATGGAACTGAAACAAAACTTTCATCTGAAATAACATTTAGTTGTTTTATGTTGTGTAATTTTAGAACTTGTATTGTGCCAAAGGATGCATAAATAAAAGTGACGCAATGAATTTTGTTCTGATATATATATATTTACAATTACATGCACATGTAAATTGTAATGCATATAAAAATAAGGAGATGTGGTATGATATTCAGTGAGTTTATCAAACTAAAGTGCATAAGAAATGGGTTTAAGCAGTTACAGATGTTACTGTCACCGTACAATCTCCAACAATGAGAAAAACTGGTACCGTGTAAAAAATTTCAGAGATCTTACAACTAAGTTTTGTTGTCTCACCTTGACTTTGGTGAATTTTTTATATCTGTTGATGTAAATATAAAAAAGAAGATGTGGTATGATTGCCAATGAGACAACTCTCCACACATGCACAAGAGACCAAATGACACAGAAATTAACAGCTATAGGTCACAGTACGGCCTTCAACAATGAGCAAAGCCCATACCGCACAGTCAGCTATAAAAGGCCCAGAAATGACAATGTAAAACAATTCAAACAAGAAAACTAACGGCCTATTTTATGTAAAAAAATGAACAAATATAACAAATATGCAACACATAAACAAACGACAACCACTGAATTACACTTTTATAGGCTGCTGACTTGGGACAGGCACATACATGTACATACAGAATGTGGCGGGCTTAAACATGTTAGCGGGATCCCAACCCTCCCCCTAACCTGGGACAGTGGTGTAACAGTACAATATAAGAAAGAACTATAAAGATCAGTTGAAAAGGCTAAACTCATCAGATGGATAAATACCAATACAAGTGGACGTGGTCAGGTAGTTGTACATCCAAACAACAAAAAGACACTAAGTACAAATCTGAGAGTACTCGCAGTTACTGACAGCTAGTTCAAAGCCACTAACAACTGATAAAAAAAATCTTGCATCTAAGACTAAATTATCAATCCGTAAGCTCCCTTTAGAATTTTATAAATTTTAGATTTTACATTTCTGAGTTATGGGGTTTTATTCATTAAAAAAGGGGGGATTTTCCAGTTTTTGGACAACAACTCAAAAATGCTTTAAGCAGTTCGCATGAAACTTTGGTGAATTATTTATAGCTATTGATGTAATCTCCCTATTGATTTTCATAAATTTCAAATATGACATTGAGAAGAAATTGAACTTTATTTGTTTATAGTCTGGCAACAGATTTATTAAGTATTGCACAACAGCACAGTGTATTGCACAACAGCAAGAAATCTTTAATTGAATATAAATTCAATTCATATAACCGATTTCAAGTTCATTGACTACATTTATTCAGAAACTATAATATGTCAAATATTTAATTACAATCCAAATTCAGACCTGTATCAAGCTTGAATATTGTGTCCATTTTTGCCCCAGCTGTTCAGGGTAGTACCTCTGCGGGTGTATCCAGCTGCGCTCAGCAAATCAGTTTATTTCTTAATTTAGAACTCCTTTTATACGACCGCAAAAAAATTTTTGTGGTTGTATATTGGTATGACGTTGGCGTCGTCGTCGTCCGAAGACACATTAGTTTTCGCACTCTAACTTTAGTTTAAGTGAATGGATCTCAATGAAATTTTAAAATAAGGTTCAATACCACAAAGGGAAAGTGGGGATTGATTTTGGGGGTTATGGTACCAACAGTTAAGGAATTAGGGGCCAAAAATAAGCATTTTTCTAGTTTCCAGACAATAACTTGTGTTCAAGTGTATGGATCTCTCTGAAATTGTACTGCAAGGTACCATACCACTAAGGGAATGCTGGGATTGATTTTGGGGGTAATTGCCTCCAAATTTTAGGAATTAGGGGCCAAAAAGGGGAAAAAAACAAGCATTTTTCTAGTTTCATGACAATAACTTGTGTGTAAGTCTATGGATCTCTCTGACATTGTATCACATGGTTCCATATCACAAAGGGAATGCTGGGATTGATTTTGGGGGTAATTGCCTCCAAATTTTAGGAATTAGGGGCCAAAAAGGGTCAAAAAACAAGCATTTTTCTAGTTTCATGGCAATAACTTGTGTGTAAGTGTATGGATCTTTATGAAATTGTACTACAAGGTTGCATATCACAAAGGGAAAGCTGGGTTTGAGTTTGGGGGTAATTGTCCTAAAAGTTTAGGAATTTGGGACCAAAAAGGGGCCAAAAAACAAGCATTTTTCTAGTTTCCAGACAATAACATGTGTTCAAGTGTATGGATCTTTATGAAATTGTACTGCAAGGTACCATACCACAAAGGGAAGGCTGGGATTGAGTTTTGGGGTGATGAATCATAAGGGGGTTCAAAAAATTTGGGGGGGGGGATTCTTTTTCCTTTTTTTTCTTTAAAATTTTCCATTTTAGATTGGTTATTTCTGATTTATATATAAAAGCAAATAATAATGATATGGTTTGAATAGGTAAATTAAATTTTTTTAAGTATCTTCGACCACTTTCATTCTGTGTCAGAAACCTATGCTGTGTCAAATATTTAATTACAATCCAAATTCAGTGCTGAATCAAGCTTGAATGTTGTGTTCATACTTGCCCCAACTGTTCAGGGTTCGACCTCTGCGGTCGTATCAAGCTGCGCCCCAGCGGAGCATTTTATTTCATTCATAAATTACTTTATGCTTGGAAATATAATTTTGCTTGGAGTTGAAAGAGTTGACATGTTGCAATGTACATTTACTCTACATAGTTCTATGGTACCAAATCAAAAGTTTATATAAAGAAAGAAGTCAAAGGTTTCCCATCATAGTTTAGTTACATACATTTTTTTTGTACCTGGGGTCGTTGAATATAGATCATTATATAAATAAGGAGATGTGTTATGATTGCCAATGAAAAAACTAGGGATTTTCTTATCCAAGGAATAGATTACCTTAGCCGTATTTGGCAGAACTTTTTGGAATTTTGGGTCCTCAATGCTCTTCAACTTAGTACTTGTTTGGCTTTGTTACTATTTTGATCTGAACGTCACTGATGAGTCTTATGTAGACGAAACACACGTCTGGCGTATTAAATTATAATCCTGGTACCTTTGATAACTAATTTGACTATAAACATAGATAAAAAAGGTACAAACTGGACATAATGCACTAGTTCATAAACAAGTGAGAACAATTGCCTTCATATAGTGCTCAGAATATGACATTCATAAAACTTATTCAATATCATTAGAGAACTCTAAATCTTAAATACTGAAAGCCACCTCTGATAAGTACACTGTACTATGCAAGATAATGATATAACTGGACTTAAAATACACACAACCTGTAATTAACTGCCTTTACAGCGCTTTCGTGCTTTGATTGGATTTTGGGCCCCGTTTTAAATTGGTCCACATTGAGGTCCAAAGGGTCCAAAATTAAACTTTGTTTGATTTCATCAAAAATTGAATTATTGGGGTTCTTTGATATGCCGAATCTAACCGTGTATTTAGATTCTTAATTTTTGGTTCCGTTTTCAAATTGGCCTACATTAAGGTCCAAAGGGTCCAAAATTAAACTTAGTTTGATTTTAACAGAAATTGAATTCTTAGGGTTCTTTGCTATGCTGAATCTAAACATGTATTTAGATTTTTGATTATGGGCCCAGTTTTCAAGTTGGTCCAAATCGGGGTCCAAAATTAAACTTTGTTTGATTTCAACAAAAATTGAATATATGGGGTTCTTTGATATGATGAATCTAACCATGTATTTAGATTTTTGATTTTTGGGCCCCGTTATCAACTTTGTCCACATTGAGGTCAAAAGGGTCCAAAATTAAACTTTGTTTGATTTCATCAAAAATTGAATTCTTGGGGTTCTTTGATATGCTGAATCTAACCATGTATTTAGATTTTGGATATTGGACCATAATAGGTGAATGTCCAATTTAAAATTTTTAAGTTCTTAGACCACATTCATTCTGTGTCAGAAACCTTTGTTGTGTCAAATATTTAATCACAATCCAAATGCAAAGCTGTATCAAGCTTGAATGTTGTGTCCATACTTGCCCCAACTGTTCAGGGTTCGACCTCTGCGGTCGTATCAAGCTGCGCCCTTTGGAGCATTTTATTATTTGATATTTCAGAAATATTTATGAAAAACAATTCTCTCATTTAATTTTAACCAATTCAATAAGGAAAAATTAAGTTTCCCCTATAGAACCCACATAAAAAAACTGTTATTTCATTAATTTCAATGTATTTAAACGAAAAAATAAGGTACATGACCCCCAGTTTTTATTTTGAAATTTGAAAGAACAATGACCCAGAAATCTTTTACAGAAGTTTAAGAAAAATATGTTGTCAAACATTTAGACACCCCAGCTACCTTAATGGTCATATTTTATCAATTTTTTTTTCATTTTTGTCTACTATTTTGAAAACTTTCTCAGATACAGAGAATTTTTATTAGGAAAACTGATTAGCAAGGCAAGAAATACGAATAAGTCATCATGGCTGAAATCATCAGACGACTCCTTATTGGGGTTATTGCTCTTTAATGATGATTTTAAGAAAGAAACTTTAAATAGCAAAAAGGATCAACAAGTCATATACTAAGTTACCTTATCTCAAATAATTTGTTGTAATGGTCCATAACATAAAAAAATATGAAGTTTTAACAAATATTATGAAGAAGACATTCTCAGGTTCTGAATTTCAATCTTCTTTTCAAGAGTTTCACAGTAGGGTGTTTTCATTATGCCATGTATTGAAGAAAACTAAAATCATAAATAGATAATCATTTCTTATGGCACATTCATGTAATATTATTTACTTAGCACTTTAAATAAAAGAAATAAAAAAAAACATTGTATTGTTCCTAATGGTGGTTTTCTCTCTGTTGCAGGTTGTTAAGATAATCAGGAATTCTGAGACTGCTGGTAGATATGTCAGTTATCGACTGGTTGTATGAAATCATTTCAACAGTCAACATTTGAAGAAAAGAGCAACAAACTACAACATTTCTGAAAACATGATATTCCTGTTGACTGTCAGTATAGTAATGGCTATAGACAACAGTGAAACTAGAATGCTGCTATTATACTTTGGCTGATACAGAGATGTTATCAGCTATTATTTTGATATGTATTATGCCAAGGATGTGAAAAGAGAAAAAATATAGCATGCATAATGCTTTTTGAAGTGAATGTTGATTTAAAAATCATAGACATTTTCATATTTTAATCAGTAAGGAAAGTTCATCAATAATAAGTAGTCAGAAAATATATAGTAAAAATATACTATAATTTTACATAGTTTTAACACAACAGACAATTTAAATGTATGGCCTTGTAGCACGTAAAATAGTGTTGAATCTTTTGAATAGAAAGTTTTGGATAAAGAATTACTATAAACTTATTCACTTACCCAGTGTTTCACAGATCGGTATATGTTAAGATTATTTTTATGCTTAGTTGTATCAGTATTTCATGACATCATTATACATTTGTATTTTACATTGCAGTGAAAGGAATGTTCACTTTTTCTTTTACATATTTCATACACATTTAAATCTTTGTAATAAAAAATTAAACATATTGTTGAACTGCACTGGTCTAATAAAGAATAGACTGATGGTATTCTTTATATTAACAAATATTCAGTAGATACCTTTCAGTTTGTTTCTGAAAAGAGTCATTCTTAAGACTTTTTAGAAGGGTATATTTATAAATTTGATTCACCTGAACCCCTTTTCTGGACTTATCTTCATCAGGAGCCCTCAAACTAAACAAGGAAAGAAAGTACAAGTACCTAAATATATGAAGAGCTATTTGACCAAAAATGACATAAAAAGCATAGCCAAATCCGTCTTAGTTCTATGTAATATTTACCTGAGGGATCTTAGTTTTTATACGACCGCAAAAATTAAAAATTTTTTGGTCGTATATTGGTATGACGTTGGCGTCAGCGTTGTCGTCGTCGTTGTCGTCTGGCGTCGTCCGAAGACACATTGGTTTTCGCACTCTAACTTTAGTTTAAGTGAATGGATCTCCATGAAATTTAACCATAAGGTTCAATACCACGAAAGGAAGGTTGGGATTGATTTTGGGGGTTATGGTACCAACAGTAAAGGAATTAGGGGCCAAAAATAAGCATTTTTGTAACTTCCAGACAATAACTTGTGTGTAAGTGTATGGATCTCTCTGACATTGTACCACAAGGTTCCATATCACAAAGGGAAGGCTGTAATTGATTTTTGGGGTAATTGCCTCAAAATTTTAGGAATTAGGGGCCAAAAAAGGGGCAAAAAACAAGCATTTTTCTTGTTTCATGACAATAACTTGTGTGTAAGTGTTTGGATATTTCTGAAATTGTACTACAAGGTTCCATATCACAAAGGGAAAGCTGGAATTGAGTTTGGGGGTAATTGCCCGAAACGTTTAGGAATTGGGGGCCAAAAAGGGGCCAAAAATAAGCATTTTTCTAGTTTCCAGACAATAACTTGTGTTCAAGTGTATGGATCTCTCTGAAATTGTACTGCAAGGTACCATACCACAAAGGGAAGGCTGGTATTGAGTTTGGGGGTGATGAATCATAAGGGGGTTCAAAAAATTTGGGAGGGGGGATTTTTTGTTTTTCTTTTCTTTTTTTTTTTTTCCTTTTTTTTTTCTTTTAAAATTTTCCATTTTAAGTTGGTTATTTCTGATTAATATTTAAAAGCAAATAATAATGATATGGTAGGAGATACACACCAAACAGGATGTGTAAATTATTATATAATAAGTATTGTGCAATAGCAAGAAATTTTCAATTGCACAGTATTGCACAATAGCAAGAAATCTTCAATTGCACAGTATTGCGCAATAGCAAGAAATCTTCAATTGCACAGTATTGCGCAATAGCAAGAAATATCCAATAGCACAATATTGCGCAATAGCAAGAAATTGTCAATTGTACAGTATTGCGCAATAGCAAGAAATATTCAATTGCACAGTATTGTGCAAAAGAAGATACTTCGTATAAATTGCTTATTTCTTGATCAATTTCGATGGGGTTTTATTCTTGAATTCTTGGGGTTCTTTAATATGCTGAATCTAACCGTGTATTAAGTTTTTGGATTTTGGGCCCCATTTTTAAATTGGTCCACATTGAGGTCCAAAGGGTCCAAAATTTAACTTTGTTTGATTTCATCAAAAATTGAATTATTGGGGTTCTTTGATATGCCGAATCTAACCGTGTATTTAGATTCTTAATTTTTGGTTCCGTTTTCAAATTGGTCTACATTAAGGTCCAAAGGGTCCAAAATTAAACTTAGTTTGATTTTAACAAAAATTGAATTTTTAGGGTTCTTTGATATGCTGAATCTAAACATGTATTTAGATTTTTGATTATGGGCCCAGTTTTCAAGTTGGTCCAAATCGGGGTCCAAAATTAAACTTTGTTTGATTTCAACAAAAATTGAATATATGGGGTTCTTTGATATGCTGAATCTAACCATGTATTTAGATTTTTGATTTTTGGGCCCCGTTATCAACTTTGTCCACATTGAGGTCAAAAGGGTCCAAAATTAAACTTTGTTTGATTTCATCAAAAATTGAATTCTTGGGGTTCTTTGATATGCTGAATCTAACCATGTATTTAGATTTTGGATATTGGACCATAATAGGTGAATGTCCAATTTAAAATTTTTAAGTTCATAGACCACATTCATTCTGTGTCAGAAACCTATGCTGTGTCAAATATTTAATCACAATCCAAATTCAGAGCTGTATCAAGCTTGAATGTTGTGTCCATACTTGCCCCAACTGTTCAGGGTTCGACCTCTGCGGTCGTATCAAGCTGCGCCCTGCGGAGCATTTTATTTAATAATTTCTAAAGGTATATAATCTTTCATCAAAGTAAATATGAATGGAGGACTTTCTGATAATCCTCTGTGTCCAAATAAAGTTTTCCAACACATCCAGTGCTATATTTAAAGATACTTTAAAGGAGCATTAGTTTTGAATTAAACAGGGAAAAAATGTTTATTTTTTCCCCAGGGAATATTATGTCAACATGATAACTCTAACTAGTAAAAAAGACTACTGGAAAAGCAAGAAAGCCACGCAAAATCAGTGTCAATCAGGGCACAAAAATATGACTTTTACAATATTTAAATCATTATTATACTAGCAGAATATAAGTATACACACTTTCAATCATTATACTAGCAGAATATAAGTATACACACTTTCAATCATTATACTAGCAGAACATGAGTATACACAAACTCAATCAGAACTTCAGAACTTTCAGATTTTGTTTGTATGAATAAGTACTAACAATGGCCATTGATATTCTGAATATGTTGTTATATATTGCCCCTCCATGTATTTTCAAGCTGAATATGAGACAATGTCCCTGATTTTACCAGAATGACTGGATTTCTTCATATTACTCTAGTTAAGAAATTACTGACTTGGTGTGATACTAAAGGAGGACTTGAAAAATAGTTCGTAAGGGTTCCGCGGAACCCAGTGTCTCGCCTACTTTTGCTGTTAATCGCAGGCTCAACAAAAATGAGGAAAAAAATTAATAAAAATATTCCTCTCTATACTATCTTTTGATTGTAAGTGGCTTCTGTCCAAGTTTGGTAAAAATCCAGGATAGTTTATGAATCTAATAAATGTTTTAAAAACTTAAACTGCAGACTGTATGTTTTGTTAACTGGAAGAAAAACTAAGTCCATTTATAAGTAAAATACGGAAAAAATGGAACAATATTTTAACAAAATTTCCTAATAGATACTAGCTTTTAATCATAAACAAGCTTCTGTCCAAGTTTGGTACAAATCCAGGATAGTTTACGAAAGTTGTTAAAATTTAAAAAAAACTTTAACCATAGAGTGAATGTGATGTAAACTGGCAGAAAAACTAAGTCCATTTATAAGTTAAATACTGATAAACTGGGTTTTTTTTTACAAAATTTACTTCTGGATACTATCTTATGATCATAAACAAGCTTCTTTCCAAGTTTGGTAGAAATCCAGGATAGTTTAAGAAAGTTATCAAAATTTCAAAAACTTTAACCACAGATTGAATGTAATGTTTCCTGGCAGAAAAACTAAGTCCATTTATAAGTAAAATACGGAAAAAAATGGATTTTTTGTTTTACAAAATTTACTTTTGAATATTATCTTATGATCATAAACAAGCTTCTGTCCAAGTTTGGTAGACATCCAGGATAGTTTAAGAAAGTTATTAAAATTTCAAAAACTTTAACCACAGAGTGAATATTTGTGGACGCCGCTGTCGACGACGCCGACGGAATGTAGGATCGCTATGTCTCGCTTTTTCGACAAAAGTCGAAGGCTCGACAAAAACCATTGCTGTTGTTACAATATCAGTTTTGCATTGCAGGTACATATTTGATTCTCTCATTCATTGTTCATAAGTATATTTGATATTTGTGAGGCTAAACTCCAATGTGTATTTTACATTGATTATGAGGCTATGTGTATGGAAGAACAGAAGTTGAATCGTAGTTTACTATGAACAATCATAAATTTTGTCCTTTGCATGGTGCTTATTGATTGTTTAGGAAAGTTGGTGCATAATAACAGGATATAAAGTAAAAATTGGCAAGCACGTTGAACAAATGATCAGGTGAGTTTCATAGTTACTTGATAAAGAGAGGTGAAAGATATCAAAGGAATATTCAAACTTTTTAAGTCGAAATCAAACTGACAATGCCATGGCAAAAAACCAAAAACAAACAATAATACACAACACAACATAGAAAACTAAAGATTGAGCAAAATGCAACCCACCAGAAAAGGGGTGATCACGTGCTATGGAAGAGTAAGCATATCCTCCACATGTGACACCCATCGTGTTGCTCATGTAAGTACACGCACAGTGATCAGTCTTATATGGTTGGTCACATTTGAGGAAAGGTGGGATTGTGGTTACAACAATTTGAACATATCATCTTGTCATCTGTGTAACATATATTCTATAACGGTCAACCAGCTTGTGATGGCGTCCATAAAATTTCCAAAGGGATGATTTCAACTTCACCACTTGGAACTCTTGGTTTAATAAATTCGATGTTAACAGCGACCCTCTATTAAGGTACTTATGATAGGAAATGCAAGCCCTGGAATATCGTATCTACTGGGAGATATATACTCCATTTGCAGGTGTTGCTTGGATGTTGCTACATAGAAATGGAAAGTTCACAATTGAGATTCTAAAATCATCTCTTTTGTCGTAAAGATTAGTTCTCAACCAATCTCCACGTCAATTTTTAGATCTGAGTCAAGATATGATGAAGACTTAATTGTATCTGTTGTATCCTTTTCAAATTCGATGGGATTGATGCGTTCAACATAGTCGCCAAACTTTTAATTATTTAGTGAGAGGACATCATCTCTAAAGCCGAGCATGAAGTTAAAAGATAATGCTAGTTTATTTTCATTCTTTCTTAGAAGCTATGTATGAAGTCAGCCTCATGTGATTAAAGGAACCAGTCGGCAAGAAGATAAACACAGTTTGTTCCCATGGGAATGCCGATTGCTTGTTAAATAACACGTCCTCCAAACGTAACAAATATGTTGCCCATCAACAAATTAAGCATCTTGATAATGTCAGTTTCGGAAAATTTGTTGTTTGAATCAGAGTGCTTTTTTTACAAAGTACGATTTATCCCTCTATAAGACAGTATATGTATCTACATTGGCTATCCATTTTTATGAAACAAAGCAGAAACAACTCTTCCAATTTATATATTAGTTTGAAACGAGGAATACTTGTGTAAAGGGTAGAAAAGTCAAATGTGTTAATACTAATGCAGGAGGAAAGAGTATTAAATTGTATGTACTCTAACAGATCTTTGTGATTTTTAAGTATCCTCATCTTATTCACGTCGCCCCTATAGATTTACACAAAAAAGGTGACGTTTAGGGCTTTATCAGCGGGAACAACATGTTTGTCATGGAGGTAGGACAGGTAGACATTTGGGTCTTTGATTAAATCATCATAGATACCAGGATTAAAATTGTGAACGTCATACGCGCGTTTCGTCTACAAAAAAACTCATCAGTGACGAATAAAAAAAGTGAAAAAAGGCCAAATAAAGTACGAAGTTAAGGGGCATTGACTGAGGAACTAAAATCCGAGAGGTTTTGCCATATACAGCTAAGGTAATCTATTTCTAGGCACGGTAGAAAATCCTTTGTATTTCTAAAACTTCCAAGATTTGTTAACAGTTAATTTATTATTATGATAACATTTTTGAGAATGGAAACGGGGAATGAGTCAAAGAGACAACAACTCGACCAAAGATCTTAAAACATCTCAAGGCCACCAATGGGTCTTCAACACAGCGAGAAAATCCCGCACCCGGAGGCGGGCTTTAGCTTGCCCCTAAACAAAAATGTATACTGGTTCAGAGAACGTCACACTAAACTCCGAAACATATAAATGAACCAAAATTTACAAGAATATACAAGAGAGGCCCCTCATGGGGGTGTCTAAGTAATGACATAATCACAAATTTCTTGCCAATATAATCACATAATCATTAATGATTATTTTAAACAAGATAATCAAATAATCAAAAATACAGTCCTAGATTATCAAATAATCATGAAATATTTGGTCTGGTAATCAAATAATCACTATAAAACGGCCAAGTAAGCACATAATCAAACACCCCATGAGGAGGCTCACAAGACCAACAAAGGCCAGAGGTTCCTGATTTGGGGACGGGCGCAAAAATGTGGCGGGGTTAAACATGTTTGGTGAGATCTCCCCCCTCCCCCTATACCTTTAGCTAATGTAGAATAAACAAACACACAGCAATAAGCACATTAAAACTCAGTTTAAAAGAAGTCCGAGTCCGACGTTAGAATAGGTAACAGGAGAAACAAAGCAAAATGACAATGATCAACATAAATTAACAAAGGACTACTAGCACTTACTGACATGCCAGCTCCAGTCCTTCATTAAACTGATTGAAAGATTATGTCTTCATCATATGAAAATCAAGCACAATCCCACCAGTTAAGGGTTTAGTATTATAAGATATACGAGAAGAACATAACCCGTATCATGCCAACAGCTGGTTTTAGAATATATGTGTTTATTTCCGATACAAAAACCCTTTGAGTGAATCAATATTAATTCCAAAAATGCCATCTTTAATGACCTGACAACAGTATCGTAACTATATCCCTTCTGAATCATATAAATAAGAAGGTGTGGTATGAGTGCCAATGAGACAACTCTCCATCCAAGTCAAAATGTATAAAAAGTTAACAATTATAGGTCAAAGTACGACCTTCAATACGGAGCCTTGGCTCACACCGAACAGCAAGCTATAAAGGGCCCCAAAATGACTAGTGTAAAACAATTCAAACAGAAAAAACTAACAGTCTAATCTATATAAAAAACGAGAAACGAGAAACACCAATGAACCACCAACAAAGACAACCACTGAACAACAGGCTCCTGACTTAGGACAGGTGCATAAACATGCAGCGGGTTTAAACGTTTTAACAGGCGCCAACCTTCAACCTGAGAGTAGTGTAGCATTACAACATAAAAGGACACACTATAAAATATCAATAGGGCTTAACTCGATCAAAAAGACATTTAAACAAAAACTAGTAAACATACACTGAACGAATAAGTTTGATCTATGACACAATATAAATACAATATTAAAACGTGGGTGCCTATATAACAAAGAAGTTACAGGTAGTGATAAAAAAGACGTAGGAAGAGTGTCAATAAGAAAACTATTACCTGGGACAAAATGGCGTAAAAGAAACAACGTACACAGGTAAATTTAAATATAATAATTTTGTTGTTAGGAGTACGGAAGCAAACATTTGTTTACATAATTAATAAATTTGTTGTTCAGAGTACGATCGAGTACAGAAGTGAAAATTTATCGTCATACTAAATACTTGTGGTACATATTAAAAATAGTGAGACGAGATATAACACATATACAAGTCCGTTTAAAAGTCTATGTTCCTTTGGAATTTCAACCAAAGATGAAGAACTGTATCTTCCTCCACTGTATTGGATACCTAAACTACTTAAGTGTTCTTACAAACAACGTTACATTGCTGGGTCTTCCAAATGCTCCACGAAACCTCTTTTCTTAATTATTAACATCTAGTTTATCAGCAATCAAAGCCGGGCTTCAAAGTTATTGTGAAACTGCCTATTCTAGAGGTGGCGTGAATCAGATGTGGATACTAAAATATTCCAAAAATCTTTTAGAGTACATACAATCTAAAGCTCTTTCATCTTGCAATAGTATTAGAACATTTGACTTTTGTACACTTTACACAAGTATTCCCCATTCCAAACTAAAAGACAAATTGAAAGAGTTTGTCATGCTTTGTTTCATAAAAAAAAAGAATGGCTTACGTAGATACAAGTTTCTTGTCTTAGGGAGGAATAAATCGTACTTTGTAAAAAATCACTCTGATTCAAACA